GTGAGTACCGTCTACCGTGAAGAGCTTAACATTGCTATTGAAGTGTGAAATGTATTGCATGTATAGGTAATTAGACGCACGGTGTTCGTCGTGTGGAACACATCCGTATAGTATATATTGCTTTCGCATTTCGTACCCACCTTTAGTCCTGTTCACTATGTAACTGAATTTATAATCGCCTGTTATCATAAAACACTAGTGCGAATTTCGCGTTGTTTCACTGTTTCACTGTCCTATATACCTAATATGAGGATTTCGTCCACTACTGGTCAGCGATGGCCAGCTGAAGTGTCTTCCATAGCTTTCAATACAAGGTAAAAAAGCGCTAAATTGAAAGTTGTACCATCATTTTTTGCCTTCTTTTTCTTCTATTACCAACATTCCGTCTACTATTGGCATGACCCCTGTAGTGTAGGAATTCATATGCAGTGCTCATTGCTTTCTTATGAAATCAGTTAGCCAGCTCCACAAGCACAACTGACGTTGTACCGACATCGCGCATGTATAGGGTGTTTTTCCAAAGCAGTTTCTAAACTTAGCATGGTTTTGTGGGGGAATATCTGGTTACCACGTGGAATATTTCGGTAAGATTCCTGCTGGAGCTCTCATTTTGATTCTTTGTGTTGGTCGCGTGAACGCTGCCGATGTCGGTTTTTCTTGAAGGGGTACTGTTACAAAAATTTTGACCTTGTGTTTTCCTGTTGCATTGTGTTGCTGGGTACGTGTTAGTCCTAACACGGCACGTAATCTGCTGCAGTACGCGACAGAGAAATATTTACAAGCCCCTCAATATCGACCAGTTTGTGTTTCTGTTTAAGAGAGAGCTCCGAAAACGAGAAGCCGTCTGGTGCAACTATCGCCACCAGCGCGCGCAGCTCTCAACCACGTCAACACAGAAATGTGACACACTACCGCATAGTCTGCATCAACAATCTGCATCAAAATCTGCATCAACAATCTGCACCAACATCTGCATCAACATTTTATCATGCATTGCGCCTGAACCATGTTATCGTTCCAGCCCATCGTCTTTCATGCCGTATCAGCCATTCGAAAGCGGTTTATCCACCCCGTGCGCATACCACTGCCCATCACTCTTCATTTTTTGTGCAAACATCAACAGAATGGAACGATCTTCCTGCTGACATCGTGCACCACTCCAGCATCGCCCATTTCAAAGAAGTCATCGAACAAATCATCTGTTTGTGAACTGTCTACCTCCTCATGTAACACCCCTTGACTGGGGCCCTTGAGGTATTATAAATAAATAAATAAACAATTACCTTTAAATAGGAAACGGGACTGCAGTGTGTCGCCAAACACAAAACTTTCAAAGCGTGCGCCACAGCCATGCATGCGCGACCAGCCTCCGACAAGTATAGACTGCGGGAAGAAAAGAAGCAAGAGAAAAAAAGCGGGTATGACTTGAGCGTAACTTGTTTTATCAAATGCGGCGGGGTGACGGGAGCGAAGGGGGTCCCCAAAGGGTGCCTTCTGAGGGTGTCAATGTTACGATGAGTTCGAGCGCTCACGCAAACTTGAAAATTATTTTAAAATAACTTACAAGATATACTCACTGTTCATATTTTACGGATGCTGTTGTTACAGGGAGAAAAAGTTTACTCGTTTACACACAGAATAAACTCGGTAGTGGACAAGATGGTGGGTGACCAGTGCACAGGGTTTGTCAACGTCGTTTTCGTTCCTGTCCTTTTTGTTGTCCTCGTTCACCCGTTACACAATTTCTCGGCAGCTGGAGCACCAACCCGATGCTAATCTGGAAGCACCCGAGTGATATGGCTTGAGCCGCCTATAACATGCTGTACGAGGGTGAATGACAGCGAGGTCCGTAGGGGTGATTTCGTAGGTGGCATCGGTAACTTGGCGTTAGATGCGGTAAGGGTCTGAATAGTCTGAGAGTAACTTCTCTGAAAATCCGATGCAGAGCGATGGGGATCAAATCAGATCACCGAGTGCGAAGTGGACGTCATAATGACGGGCGTTATATAGCTCTTCTGATTGTCCAGGGAGCCTACTAGTCGTCATCGTGCAACCTGGTGCACGTCTCAGGCCATTGTTTTGCTTCCTAGCGTACTCAGATGTGTCATTTAGCCCGGACGACAGGGGCGTCTGAAAACTAGCGCAGGGTCACAGCCGTACAACAACAAGACAAAATATGTAAAGAATCCAGTGGTTTTGCGCGGAGAGGAATTGAAGGCGAATGTAACAAACGGTAACGTAGTGTCCCAGTCGCTCTGGTCGGGGGAGTCACACGTGAAGAGCATGTCCGTAAAGGGGCTATTAAGGTGCTCCGTTAGACAATTCGTTTGAGGATGGTAAGCAGTTGAAAGCGGAGGAGGTCATGAACCACTTTGTAAAAGAAGTACCTTTCTCGGTCGGTAAGGAGCTGCCGAGGGACACCGTGGTGTAGGATGACGTTCTTTAGGAGGAAATCGACAACATCAGTTGCACAGCTGGTTGGAAGGAAACGGGACTGCAGTGTGTCGCCAAACACAAAACTTTCTAAGCGTGCGCCACAGCCATGCATGCGCGACCAGTCTCCGACAAGTATAGGCTGCGGGAAAAAAAGAAGTAAGAGATAAAAAGCGGCTATGACTTGAGCGTAACTTGTTTTATCAAATGCGGCGGGGTGACGGGAGCGAAGGGGGTCCCCAAAGGGTGCCTTCTGAGGGTGTCAATGTTACGATGAGTTCGAGCGCTCACGCAAACTTCAAAATTCTTTTAAAATAACTTCCAAGATATACTCACTGTTCATATTGACACGTGCGGTTCTTTTGGTTTACGAAGGAAGACGCTATCACTTTCTGTTAAGCGCAACGCAGGCCGCGTTTATCTTGTATGCCACTCTGGAACGCGTTACGACGCGTGTATAAAAAAACTGACACGTGCAGTTCTTTTCGTTTGCGAAGGAAGACGCTATCACTTTCTGTTAAGCGCAACGCAGGCCGCGTTATCTTGTATGCCACTTTGGAACGCGTTACGACGCGTGTATAAAAGCCGGCGCAGTGCGCCACTGGGCGTCTTTTCTTTTTTTCCGTCGGCCGACGACTGTTCACGCCGCTGTTGCTATGAGTTGGTTTGGCCCGTTTTGCTGGGCACAAGTTCGCCCAATAAACAGTTCGCCTGACACCGCCCTGACTCCTGCGTGCTTCCTCTCAAGTGCTGCGTGTTTCACAACCTCGTGACATCTGGTGGAGGTGCTTCTCGGTCCATGTACCGTACGCCCCCGTCCAGCCGTGAGCCAAGCCCAAGCCGGCAAGAGGACGACGCCGACCCGGTCGTTCGAGTGAGCCGAAGACAACAAGGACTACCGCCCGAATACCTGCCGCTCCCCGACAAGGACAAGAAAACAAAGGCTGCTACGAAGCCGGCATCCACGATGACGGAAGCTAGTTCTTCGGCAACCGTGGTCGTCAACCAGCCCAAAGAGCCGCCTACCTTCCGCGGATCGACCTACGAAGACCCGGAAAGCTGGCTTGACATTTACGACCGCGTCGCAGCCCTCAATAAGTGGGACCCGGACGACAAGCTGCGTCATGTGTATTTTTACCTGGAAGACGCCGCAAGGACTTGGTTCGAGAACCGCGAGTCAACGCTTCGAACCTGGGACGACTTCCGCGTTGCTTTCCTGCGCACCTTTGCAAGCGTCGTGCGAAAGGAAAGAGCCGCAGCACTGCTTGAAACTCGGGTGCAGCTCCCCAACGAAAACGTAACGATCTTTACGGAGGAGATGACGCGACTTTTCCGACACGCCGACGCCGACATGTCTGAGGACAAGAAGGTTCGCCTGCTTATGCGAGGAGTGAAGCAGGAGCTCTTCGCCGGACTGATCAGAACCCCGCAAAAGACGGTACAAGAGTTCCTCTCCGAGGCTACCACCATCGAGAAGACTCTTGAAATGCGGACCAGCCAATACGATCGGCGCATGTCGACCAGACGTCGCAGAAGTCCGAGGACTCTGCCCCGACGACCTGCGCGAGACCATACGTGCTATTGTTCGTGAAGAACTGCGCCGCATGTTGCCATCGTCTCAGCCCCAAGTCGCCTCTCTCGAAGACGTAGTCCGCGAGGAACTACAGCGCTCACTGAGCGTTCCTGAACGGCCACAGCCCCAACCGGAGGCGATGACCTACGCCGCTACTGCACGACGACCTGTCGCCGCTCCTCGCCAACACCAGGAGCCAACGTCTCCGCAGTTTCGTCGCCAGCCACCGCCGCCACCCCCGACGCCTTCCCGCTCGCCAGTAATCCAGCGCTCGCCGAGGAAAACTGACGTTTGGCGCACCCCGAACCACCGCCCACTATGCTACCACTGCGGCGAAGCCGGGCACACCTACCGCTACTGCCAGTACCGTGAGATGGGACTGCGTGGCTTCGACGTGAACGCGCCGCGTCCGCGCCCAGGTGAGCGACCTCGCGACATCGCCGACTACATCGCCGGATCGCAGTGGCAACAACGACGACCATCCCGTTCACCTTCGCCTGGCCGCTACGTCTCCCCGGATCGCCGCCAGTACACCGGCCCTAACCGGGGCCGATCCCCAAGCCCCTACCCGGGAAACTAAAGGCAGCAACCGATGGAGGTGCGGTTGCTGCACGCCGCAATGCCGAAGATCCTCCTCCTCCGCCGCCGCCGCTGCCGATGACGACGACCACGACGCACGAACTTTCCCGACGTAGTCGCAGTACGCCGCCTGAGCAGAGTCTTTACGACAAAGCCTCGCCGCCTACGCGACATAGCAGCACCGGACCAAGCCGACGCAGCCGTGATCCGACGCCCCGACCTAACCGGAACGCCAGACGACGAACCACCGACCTCGACGTGATCATCGACGGCCACAGCGTCACCGCCCTAGTTGATACCGGCGCCGACTACTCTATCATTAGTGGTCTCTTCGCCGCTAAGCTCAAGAAGGTAAAGACTGCATGGGAAGGACCGGATATCCGAACAGCAGGGGGCCACCTTATAACACCGACTG